TAAAAATCTATTACTAAAATATCTTAAAGAATTTAACGGCATACATTTTAAATTTAATCTAATGAAGTTTTAACATTTAAGTACTCAAAACTGTTATTTTATTTATATTTTTAAAGCAGTTGTATTCATTTTTGTATAGTTCTTAGGACAGTTTTCTCATTCGTAGTACATGACGGATGGATCGTTTTTTTGTTCGCATTTCAAGGCCATATGTTAAAGATATTTATTTTTGCGATTTCACGACTTTAAATACCCGGTAATCTGATATTAAATTTTGAGACAAATAGGCCGCCAACAGATGACGGCACTTGGAATTCTATTGGCGCCATCTGGCTTTGAGGTACATTTATCTGCAATTCCTGACGCAATTTACTTTGTTTGATTTTTTTATAACGTTGGAAACAATGGTTTAACTGAAAACTGTTTTTGTGTTGATCGCATTTTATATTAATATACAGCATATGAATGCTTAACGAATTGAATTTCAACTCTGTAGCTCTTATAGAGATCTCGGCAATCATACTGACAGACAAGGCCACATTAAAAACTGAAACCGCTGTTCTAAATTTAAGTACGATCTTACTTGATTTTTGAAAATTTCTGAATCAAGATTGTTTGAGGTGTTTGTATTTAAATCAAGAGAACAGTTGTTGTTAAAAAAATAGTTGATGCAAGGCCAAACTCTTAAAATATAATTAAAATTCTTAAATTAAATACGATTCGCACTTAACTTAAGGATAATATGTTCCAGAAATCTAATGTTATAGAAAGTAACAAAAAAATATTAAGTTAAACAATATGTGTACTTATTTTCAAAAAATTAAGTACACAATATTTAAAAGGTTAGAGTGTACTCAACTAGGGTGGAAAAATTGTAAAATAGTAGCAATTTTAAAATGCACTTATTAATTTTAAGATCAAGAATAAATGTCTAACACTCAAGCTGGGGAAAGCTCGAAAATGAAGTTCTTAGTAAAATTGAAAAATCTTAGTACGTTTTTAACGTTTGTTCGAAAAAAATTCTTCGCCTTATTTTTAATCATCGAGTGTGGATTATTGGTTACTCCACAAACATTTTTCGTAAGTACATGAAAAACAGTTTATGAACTAATCTATACATATTGTAAGGCTTATAAAACATTAATCGATAACTTCTAATTTAAGAATATTTCATACTTTATTGGAGCATACCTTACATTTTAGTACCAACATCGTTTTTCATGAAATGTTTAAGTCGTTTAACGATTCCTACTTCATTTTGTAAAAAAAGCTTTTTTAAATAAAAAAAAATAAAGAAAGAAGTTAAAAATGAAAACTGAGAACACTTCGAACTTTACTCCCTTTCACGCTGTTACATAAACCGGCTATCGATCCTGATAGAGAACATAAATATTATATATTAAATGGTACTTCTGTTTGTTACATACATTTCAACAAATACAGTATACCTGCTTACCCTACGAGTAACGGGTATAAAAAGTTAAAGGAATACAAAGTAGCTTTTTATTCGGCCAGAAAAGTTTTGCATGGGTTAAAGGGGAAGGAGTTTTCTGCTGATAGGTGGGTTTTAATGCCTTAACCCACCATCGCCCCACAAGAAAGTTTGTATCGCGTTCGCTCAACCATTTTAGTCAACCTAATTAGCAACTTGATGATTTTTTAACGCTTTATCGAGCACTGGCAATGATTTCATTAGCTCCGAAGGAAGGGTTGGAAAATGGCTGAAGTGCAGTGTAAATTGCCTCATGATTATTAAATTGCCTCTTACTGTTGACTAGATATAGTTTTTGGGGAGTCGTCGTTGAAAACTTGTTGAAAAGTTGAGAATGTTGCAAATTAGTTGGTTTAACTTGGCTCAGAGGCTTTACATAAGAAAGGGGATGCGGGACTTACGTGGTGCCTGGGAATATTTCGGAAAATCTAGTGCATAATTGGATAAGGCCTTTTCCAGGATAAAGTCGATTACGCCCCTTCAACTAAATGAGGCTGAAAATATGTATTATTTACAATATTAGAAAATTATTTACATATTACTTAACCATTTCTTGTTTATATAGCTTTGTTGTAGGTACATTAAATGCAATAATTTTATTCTGTTTAAAAACTTAATTTGTTCGTAAATATAATTTATATTTCGAAAGAATATTTTCAAGTTCGACTCAATTGAAAAATTTTATTTTTAAAAAATTAATTAAATATGTTTAAGATACATTTTTTTTCTAGACAACATAAACAACATCATAAACAATGCAATCATAGGTTTTTCAAAAATGTTCTTCTGTAAAAGGGTTTTCTTTTGTAATTACGAAAAATAAATATTTTCCCAAATCGGCTTATAAGTCTAAATTAATGAAATGTTTTTTATTTTTAAACACCATTTGTATATATACACTTCTTTAAGCAGCCCTGTTATTACAGAGTTATGTGAATATTTCGCTTTTGATGACGAATGATTTTTTTTGATATCCACATAAAATGACATACCAAATGAAAACTCAAATTGAGCGCAAAATTCGACACATAATATCGGCTTTAATGAGGGAAGCTCGCAGCAAGTATATCACCTACAAAAACTCATCCCAAAAACCACAATACAACAATCTTTACGATCTTCAAACGAAAGAAAACAGAACTTGTTTGCCTTGAAGCTAACAAAAATCAAATATGACAAACAGAGGAGCGAGCAGAATGCGTTTGGAGATCAAAAAGAAAGAGAATATAAATTAACAGGAAACACTAAAGATGTTAAAAAACTAATGCGTTAAGACCATATCTATCACCCATAATTCGATATAATCAGCTATCTTAAAATTTTTAATTTATTGAGAAATTTACAAATCTTTTATTGATCGCCTGACAAATCCTATTTGTACGCACATCAAGAAAAATCAATTTTCCAGAAAGAAAAATAAGTAGAGACCATAAATGGTTTTTTCAGTCTTCATTTCGAGCCCTCAACCCTTTTGGTTCGTCTTTTATCGATCAGTCTTAGGGTGGGCAAGTTTTTTATGATCATGCTAAGAAGTTTCCTTCCTCTAAATTTGGTGACTCACGGGTGGAAACCTTTTTCGTTTTTATACACAATTCGTTTAATAGCAATTAGTTGGAAAAGTAGTTCTCGCTTTCTACTTGTCGATATTTAAGGATATTAAAGTCTGGGTTCCTGGAAATCACACATTTTGTGGTTCGAAAACAAGAACCAGAAGATGTTAGTTGGAGGTGGAAATAGAACACCATCTCATTATTATTGTTAAGTAATGCCTGTGCTACTGCCCACACGAAGAGCAGAAAATCAGCAGCCAACGCTCCACAATCTTGAGATTTAGAGAACTTGAGAAGAAGTTCTCAGGCGGCTGAAGTAAAGTTACCAGGCATGGGCGTAAAGTTGAAGCTGTTGATGTGCTGTACACTGAAGGCAAAAAATGATTATAAATCCACTATGTATTAACCCTTGCAAATTAAAACCTTCAAATATAATAAACATTTTCTCTAGTTTAAATATATATTAATAATCTATGAGGTAAGTTCGTAAAAAGTGTGATTACATTTATTAATAAAAGCAGGTTAATTTTTAAAATAGAGCGTAATGCTTCGTCTTTTTTCTTAGTGTACAACTTCTAGAAGTAACAGCTTGTGAAGATTGTGTGGGAGATTGCTGACATTTTTTGTATGATGCTACATGCACAATGTCCAAATGAAATTAAATTCGGCTCCTTAAACTGGTTAAGCTAACGAATTTTCAAGCTGATCAGCCAGGTTTGTAAGATTTTCAGATTTTCTTGCAGTTTTCCTTTTTTTTCGAAGGCAATGTTGCTGGCCTCATGTTGCTCCTAGATGCGGTGCTCTCTTGTGGATCGCAACATGTGTTGCCAATGTAACGTGCTGCCCACACTGCTCTCAACATTTCCGCCGGGCGCATCTGCCCGTGACTAAAATCCATTCGAGATCCCGTGTGTCAGTCGTTATCTGAACGTCGGGAACTGTGCAATTGTCCGGCCCTCCGTGGAGCCTCGCGACCTGAACTGAATAAAAGGTGTTTTGCCAGAGCCAAACGGCAGTGCCTCTACCATCTATTGGACTCCGACTCCGCCATCTGGCCCAGGGAATCAAAACAAACAAATCATTGCACAAACAGGCCACCTTTATATATATACATATATTCCGGAGATATGTACTCGGATGTGCGTGAGTGGATTCGTGGGTGTGTTTTCCTTGCCTGAGGCATCGCGTCAAAAGTCGCGCGCGGATTGTGCGGTGGATTTATGTGCGCGGTAATTGGTTGACGCTAAAAATCTAATAGCCATTAATCAAAGTTGGTAAACAAATTGCCAGAGAGCAAGTAAAAAAAGACAACAAATATTAAAGAATATAATCCAACAAAAATGTGAATGGAAAGTGCTCAAGTTATCAAGCGTAAATTTTTGAAAATAAAATTAAATACGACAATAAGCAAGCTTCACACAAAATAACAAGAGAGAACGCTATAGTCGAGTGAATGGACTTTTAGATACCCGTTACTCAGCTATCCAGAAATCCCTATCGAGAATTAACGTTGACTCTGTTAAGCACCTTGGCCAGCTGTTCCAAAGTCATCCGTTAGATGGCGCCATGAAAGGCGGAAATGTAGGCGCTAGCCAGGCTAAAGCGTTTAATGGGTTTTTGGGCGTTAAAGTGGGCGTGGCAAACTTTTATTAGGCAAATCGGTTTTTTTTTGACGAAACAAATCCATATCAATTAAAATTTTCATAATATCATCAAAACTGTGGCAACAGCTTGTGGCTTATGGGCGTCAGAGGGGGCGTGGCACCATTTTGAAACAAACTTGCGCTGCGTAGGAACTCCTAAAATCTACATGCAAAATGCCAATCTTCTAGCCTCTAAGTTTCCGAGATCTCAGCGTTCATACGGACAGACAGACAGACGGACTGAACAAGAATATATATACTTTATAGGGTCGGAAACGCTTCCTTCTACCTGTTACATACTTTTGCACGAATGCAATATACCCTTTTACTCTACGAGTAACGGGTATAATAACAAACATACTTTGAAAATAAATGTCGAAAGATATTGAAAGATCATTTAATGTTTTGGCAAAAGTATTTAAATACCAACGCAATGTCTTTTAATCATTACACTTAAAAAAAAAACAAGTTTATTTAAAAATAAAACAAAAAGAAAATTATTTAACAAATTTAAAAAACAAATAATGAGTTTCTTGATAAAAATAGTGCCGACATAAAGAAAAATTTTAAGAACAGAGTTTTTATTAGACAACGAATAGATTTTTAGATCGAAAAATCACTGAAATCAAACTACTTTCAGCATAAAATTTGTTTTTCTAATAAGTTTTATTCGACAAAAAACAATTAAATTTCCTTATAAAGATAATACGTCAACAAGTGTCAAAATAAAAAGCATTATAAATAATTGCGAATCGTCAGACAAAAGAAAATTCTTAAACTCAAACAAACGACAAAGAAAAGTGCACAATAAACGCGTGTGAGAAAAAACAATACAAAGAGCAAAGTAATTCCTGGGGTCCGCCGATTAAAACAATGATTTCTTCAAGGGGAAACCGAATGATCTTCAAAATGTATTGGCTAATTCTGATACTAATGCCCCTCACTTGGGCCAACACCAGTGATTTAAAGGAAGCCCCTGTAATGACCACAGTAGCTCCCACTTCAAGTCATCGAAATGCCCACCAGCAGCAAAGATTGCAGAGATTGCAGGAGGCACAGCAACTGGAGACCCATCAGCAACATCATCATCATCTGCGGCACGAGCAGCATTTGCGGTCCGAATTGGAGGGGAATCACCAGCCGCCAATCGGGGACTTTGAAATGGGTGGATCCAAGAAGCCCTTCGATCCACTGTTGCCCATGCAGCAGCACCACTTGCGTCATCACAATCGCCACCATCTGAGTTGGGAGCAGAGGGTGTTTCCCTCACTGCGACACCAGCAACACCGCTTGTCCCTAGGAACCAGCACTCCAAGAAATATCTTTACCTCGGAGGCACCCACAACCACTCATCACGGCTTGATCACAAATCATACTCGCTATTTCGACAGGGATGGCATCTTCCCCTCTTGGGCTGAACCTCGAACTACCAGAGGTCCCAATTGGCGACAGGAAGTGGATTCCAGTAGCTCCGATGGCGAAAGCGATGAGGACGAAGACGACGAGGACGACGATTATGAGTACGAAGATGACTCCGATTCTGATGGTGTGGATGAAGAACTAGCCCGACAAATGCCCAGATACTCTTTGTTCAACCAAAAACTACCCCACATTGACTTGAAAGAACAAGAGTACGATGCTGTTGATGGATCGGATGAATTGGATATAGTTTCGAATAATAATCATTATAGCAACAAACATCCCAGTGTGGCCAATCCACACGATAAGTCAGCTGGCAAACGCAATATATTTACTTGGCTGTTCAAACAAGATGTGGAAAAAGATGTAGTTAAAGCACCGCACACCACAACTACTACAACAACCACAACCTCGACCACAACAATGAAGCCCATAACACGCACTGAAAGGCCAAAACTACAATTAATAGATGCCAATCTTAAGAACAACGGTGGCGAAGAGGACTACTCGAACGAGGATTCGGATTCCGAGTCAGAAGAGGGATTCTCCAACGAACAGTGGAACAAAATCGAGCACGAACATCATCTGAAGCAGCAGAAACACCAGAAGGAACTATTGGCGATGCGTGAGAAGAGCTGGAATACCCCTCTCATAAGAAACATTGAGAATGAGGTGAGTACGGCATTGCGCCCATTGTTCTGAATCCACTGATAAGACTGTGGCATCCCGCCGATTTCATGATGTCATTAGCCATTGTTGTTGCGCTGACATTGCTCCATTATGTGGGATGGGTGGTGATAAGAGATTCTGTTTATGAACAACTACAACTAGTGACTGTGGCCACAAATGACCAACAGATTTTTGGTGCCAGCTTGTATTCTGGGTTTCGGTTTCGGTTTCACGTTTAATTTTCATTTGATGTTGGCGGTTAGTCACGTCGAGAATTCGTCAGTCAACAAGTGCACTGAAGAAAAAGACTTACGATAACTAAATAATGACAACGAATTTATGGTATTCAGTTTTTACGATGAAAGCTTTAATTTTGGGCCAGCTTGGTCTGGGTTTTACATCCAGTTAACTTAAGCGATTAGTTTTGCCCATGATAAGATCAAATTGACACCCTATTTTCTATTTTTGAAGGATGGAATAGAAATTTCTCACAGTACTTTAGCATTATTCACCTCGACAAAACGCACTGGCCATTGCTAATGCCGTTTGCATTTTGGCTTACAACAAAAACAGACATGCAGCTTTACTCTGTGTTTTGGTGTCCATGTCAAATATTTACACAATGTTGAAAAGGCCAGGGGGAATGGGTTGAAGATGTGGAGGGGGCAAGGACAGCAGCTGTCTTTTGCGAACTCGGCACTTTTTGGCTGACCATTCGCCATTCACCATTGCGGTTTGACTAATTGAAACCAGCAAGTACGACAACAAGAACACCTACACAAATCAACAAAATGCAACAACACTCAACAATATCAAATAATTTGTTGCATTTGATTTTCACTTTTTGGATGCGATTCCGTTGTGTTTGTTTTGAGTTGTTTGTTGACAAAGGTTCTACATTTTCCGGCCTCTCTTAATTGCATGTACATGCGTCTCTTTCAACCCCTGACCCTGAGGTATCTGGATTTCCACCCCCCTCTGACGCCCTCTTGCTGGTGTAATTACCGCAAAAAAGGACCAATTAAATTAGTACCAAAACAATTAATGTTCGTCGGTAGCGGCGGGTAAATTAAAAATACCCGGAAGAGTCTGCCTTAGTTTGTTTTTAGTGCTCCTTATTTATGTTTATCGTACCGCCTTTTTGACTTTACTGCATGTAAAATGAGTTTAGGTAAAATTGAGATAAAACTTCTCGTTAATATAATAATAATCAACCTTCGATGTCGTTAAATTAAATTATGGTGCAGCCTAAAGTGTTTCTTTAAATAAAAAATTTTTTATAGTGAGGAAGTATTTGTGTGCTGAATAAATTTGTGATATAAATTTGTTTTTATATCCAACAATTGAATTAAACCACATAATTTTCCAAGCAACTAAATATTATAAAATAAATCGTATAATATTAGGTAATAAAACATAACACCTAAATTATACGTTACACAAATAAATATTTGAATACATAATTACTTATAATCCTTATCCACTCCAGTTTATATTGGTATACCCTTGCAAGAGGTACTAACATTTTGGTAAAAAGATTGCAAAGCAGTAAAAGAGACATCTCCGATTCAATAAAGTAGATTCGATCTAGCCATGTCGATCATTCTGTCTGTTTTACAGCGATCTGCATGAAACATTCCCAATATATATATGTGTCAGATCGGGACGAATTGGAATATATCATATGGATCCCATCAAAATATTCTCAAAAATTATAATAAAGAAATTGAAATTTCGTAGTTTTTGTAACATATTATATTTGGATTTACTTCAAGATATGGGGAATTTTAGAATGAATTTGTGTAAACGCTGATGGGGTATATAAACTTCGGTTTGCCGTAGTTTCCATTCTTTATTGTTTCCGTATGAATTAATATTCTCAAATATTTTCGCAATTAATTCCATTTTAAATATTTGCCAGCTCAATCAAAATTAATTCCCATGAAAAATGTAATTTAAAACATAATTAAAAATTTAAATATGAATTAAGTGGGCACAAGCGATGACAATTGTGTGTGAAAATGTAAATGTGAAATGCACTCGAAATATTGTCAACAGCTAAATAAACACACGGCTAAAACAACGCGCTTAATAAGAGCAACAATAATTACCGAACCCAACAACAAAGTGCAGCTGCGTGTTGGGGTTGGGGTTGGGTAGGAGGGTGGACAGTGGGGTAGGCAGGTGAATTGGCGCTGAGCCATCAAAATAACAAGACGCCTTTCCCACCTGCTCTCCTCAGAACAAAACAATTAACACATGTCTGCGTATAACGACGGCTACTCCATGGCTTGGATGCTCCTCTTACTTCCAGCTTTCCCTCATCCGGATGTACTGCATCCTTCCCCAGTTCCTTTCTTTGAAACGCTCAAAGAGAGTCTGCATCCACACTTTTATATAAACCCTGAATATTCCTGCCGTGCTAAAATGCCATTGAGTCAAAGCAAATTACCAAAACTACCTTCCATTTAATTGGCAACGTTTCTACCTTATCATTCTCTTTATTTTGGTTTGGAAGTTTATTTAATATTTGGTCTGACTGTTCATTATTGAGCTCTTTGCTGAAATCATTTTGTCCGATTTTTATACCCTTGCAGAGGGTATTATAATTTTGGTCAAAAGTGTGCAACGCAGTGAAGGAGACATCTCCGACCCTATAAAGTATATATATTCTTGATCAGGATCACCTCCTGAGTTGATATAGCCATGTCCGTCTGTCCGTCTGTCCGTCTGTCCGTCTGTCCGTCTGTCTGTCCGTCTGTCTGTCCGTCTGTCTGTCCGTCTGTCTGTTTCTACGCGAACTAGTCTCTCAGTTTTAAAGATATCGAATTCAAACTTTGCACACACCCTTCTTTCCTTTGCACGCAGTATATAAGTCGGAACGGCCGGGATCGGCCGACTATATCCTATAGCTGCCATATAACTGATTGATCGGAAATGCCATAACTTTGGTGTTTGTCAAGTTAGGAAGTTGGGACTTTCTATGGATTTTATATTTGGCCAATCAATCCGACGTACCAAATTTCATAAGGATCGGCCGACTATATCTTATAGCTGCCATATAACTGATTGATCGGAAATGCCATAACTTTGGTGTTTGTCAAGTTAGAAAGTTGTGATTTTCTGTGGGTTTTATTTTTGCCCAATCAATCCGACATATCAAATTTCATAAGGATCGGCCGACTATATCCTATAGCCGCCATATAACTGATTGATCGGAAATGCCATAACTTGGGTGTTTGTAAAGTTAGAAAGTTGGGATTTCCTATGGGTTTTATTTTTGGCAAATTAATCCGACCTACCAAATTTCATATGGATCGGCCGACTATATCCTGTAGCTGCCATATAACTGAACGATTGGAAATGCCATAACTTTGGTGTTTTTAAAGTTAGGAAGGTGGGATTTTTTATGAGTATTAAGAATGCATCATATGAATAATTTTGGAGAATATATCTTGCAGAATATTCTGCAAGGGTATTTCAACTTCGGCTCCGCCCGAAGTTAGCTTTCCTTTCTTGTTAATTAACATTTCAGGTTACGTAAACAGTAAAAGAAATGGTATAAATGTTTGTAAGTTAAACAAGAAAGGAAAGCTAACTTCGGGCGGAGCCGAAGTTGAAATACCCTTGCAGAATATTCTGCAAATTATATTCTCCAAAATTATTCATATGATGCATTCTTAATACTCATAAAAAATCCCAACTTCCTAACTTTAACAAGAAAGGAAAGCTAACTTCGGGCGGAGCCGAAGTTGAAATACCCTTGCAGAATATTCTGCAAATTATATTCTCCACCTTCCTAACTTTAAAAACACCAAAGTTATTTCATTTCCGATCAATCAGTTATATGGCAGCTATAGGATATAGTCGGCCGATCCTTATGAAATTTAATATGTCGAATTGATTGGGCAAAATTAAAACCCATAGAAAATCCCAACTTCCTAACTTAACAAACACTAAAGTTATGGCATTTCCGATCAATCAGTTATATGGCAGCTATAAGATATAGTCGGCCGATCCTTATGAAATTTGGTAGGTCGGATTGATTGGCCAAATATAAAACCCATAGAAAATCCCAACTTTCTAACTTTACAAACACCAAAGTTATGGCATTTCCGATCAATCAGTTATATGGCAGCTATAGGATATAGTCGGCCGATCCTTATGAAATTTGGTAGGTCGGATTGATTGGCCAAAAATAAAATCCATAGAAAATCCCAATTTTCTAACTTTACAAACACTAAAGTTATGGCATTTCCGATCAATCAGTTATATGGCAGCTATAAGATATAGTCGGCCGATCCTTATGAAATTTGGTAGGTCGGATTAATTGGCCAAATATAATACCCATAGAGAGTCCCAACTTCCTAACTTAACAAACAGCAGAGTTATGGCATTTCCGATCAATCAGTTATATGGCAGCTATAGGATATATTAGGCCGATCCCGGCCGTTCCGACTTATATACTGCGTGCAAAGGAATAAAGGGTGTGGGCAAAGTTTCAATTCGATATCTTTAAAACTGAGAGACTAGTTCGCGTAGAAACAGACAGACGGACAGACAGACGGACAGACAGACGGACAGACAGACGGACAGACAGACGGACAGACAGACGGACAGACAGACGGACAGACAGACGGACAGACAGACGGACAGACAGACGGACATGGCTATATCAACTCAGGAGGTGATCCTGATCAAGAATATATATACTTTATAGGTCTCCTTCACAGCGTTGCACACTTTTGACCAAAATTATAATACCCTCTGCAAGGGTATAAAAATCGATATATACATATGTATGTAGATTTGAACAGTATACAAATGATTTGCACAGAAAAATTAAAGCTTTCTTTATATTGACAAGAAAGGAAGCAAACTTGGGCAAAAACTTCTTTTTTTGAAACAAAATATTTAATAGGCTTACGTACAAAATTACAATAAAACAAGAAAGGAAAGCTAACTTCGGGCGGAGCCGAAGTTGATATACCCTTGCAGAATAC